GTTATCACTAGCGAAATATGTGTTGGTTTTTTTGAAGGGGCGATATAATATTTTATGTCAAACTAAATTTCTTGTAAACTTTAGTTCGGACTGAGTTACCCAGAACCAGTTCAACGCGGTTGCACTGGTTGCACTTCAGTGGTAATAGTCGCTTGACTCCGGTCAGCGATACGCCATCATGCTATTCTTTCTTCAGTCAGTATCATTTTCCAATTACGCCCACGGATACGAAAAACAGGAATCACGCCAAAAATAACCAAGCCTTCTATTCCCAGGAGTAAAAATAAAAACGTTGTCCTTGAAAACAACAGTTGAACACCTGTTGATCAAAGTTTCTATACAAGATGAACAAAACTATGTACACTCACCGTGTCAGATTCGGATACTTGCCGATCAAAGAAAGCAAACACCTAGTATGAGTATTAAAGGGACATTTATCTGTTTTTCATATTTTTTAATCCATATATTACTGATCCAAAATTACATTTGTGTCCAGGGAGGGGGTTACTCACCGGGTGATTTGATACCATTATCGTTCTGAAAATTTACGTCAAAATGATTGTTAATTTGAGTCAGAGTCAAAGTCAGAGTATATTTTTGATCTAGTTTTCAGGCGGGGTTTTGAGTACTGCCTGTTATTTTCTACTGATGGTGTTCGGTATTATGACATTATAATATTACGACTGTTTAAAGTTGATTCTTTCTGAATTTGACTCAGTATGCTATCAGTGGTCTAAAATTATGTTTATATAATAGCATCACGCGGGAGAAGGGTGGCAATGTGTCCCGTGATATGGCATATGCTATGAGTGTATCGTGGGTTGCTGGGAAATGAATTTGTAGTCGAATCAAAAAATATTTTCAAGCTGTCTAGGTATTTTTTTTTCATATGAGTTGTAAGAACATTGCCGCCGCTATTGAGATCAGATTGACATTTGAGCCCCTCTCCAAGCGCATGTTCATATTTGTTAATGTAGAAATCCCCTCGTTCGTTCCTGCTACGCCCATAAACAAGATTAACATGCACAAACTATGAGATTTTCAACACAAACGACTTAAAATGTCAATTTTGTGACGCACCTTGGTCTTAATGTGACTTCCAAATAGTTGCCATATATCTTCTGTTATTTGGTTGATTGGATTTTACACATAAAGAGAAAATGCGCGTTAGAATTCCACATTCTAACAAACAACATGCTATTACGCCGCATTGCACCCCGGGATATGACCCATACTGCCATTACAACTTGATACGATAACAATGAACACACTTACACTTTATGCCGTAGATACCCTGCATTCAATTACAAATATACAATATACAACTTGTAGATGTGCACATCATCTCAATACGCGGGAAGGATGAATACTTGCGTACACTTCGTAACGTCTCCTTGTTGTATTCATAGCGGAATTGTCGTTTGATGATACTATATCGGAGTATCTTAAGTTCCAGAGGGTGCTATATATAGATATGGGTGTGTCGCAAGTAACTCCAGACTGCTGACACTTTCGTGACAGTCATTGCGTTCGTGTAAAAATCTGCCTATAATTAATCGCTTTAGTATTAGTCAACAATATGTAGAATTTTTAAAATTCACTGTCAATCCTTTTTTGAGAAAAACAAAACGATAAAATGATAACATGCCGTTTTAGCACTGGTTGTCAATAAAAACATCGTGACAAATTTTCTAAAAATATCGTCATTACCTCTAGACATCAAAAACTACCTTGTAAGGTACTATATATCTTTTTTCACTGTATGACACCGAGCACAATTTTGAAATAATGAGACATTCTTGCCCTCCGAAAAAATTATAAAACAGGCGAAACATGCTATTATCACTTTATTTTATTGAGCCATTATCCGCGAACTATACTCCATATGTTTAATTCAATTTCTTCACCTCTGTAAGATGAGGTAACGCGTCATATATGTAAAAATGGAAATTATGGCAATAATTTTACCTTTGTTTTTACCTCAAAAACGTTATTTTCTGTTGATTTCCAAGTGTTAATTTCAGTGGTAAGCAAATTTCAAGACTGTGGATTGAAAGAGTAAATCTCTTCAGAGTTTTAGAAAACCGGACTCAATTTTGGAGGCGCATTCGCATTTACTTTTCCAACCAAAGAACCCTCCTCCGGCGTGTGTTGTTAGTTCATTATATGTATGGATATACGTAAGTTTGTTTTTTTCGTGAAATTAAATATTGTTGTGATTCTCGCACACTGCGAATGATGCCTATACGTATAGTGAATTTCTCCTCAGATATCATATTCCACATTACGTGTCAAGGCTGTGTGAGCATCGTATCGTAACGCAATTGTTACAATCTAATGCGTCACCAGACCAGGCCAGATCGAACTCCCCAGGCGTTAAGTTTCTACTCCCAAAATAACACGAAGTCATTTAGGGTCAAATAGTTTGATCATGTCACTAATTGTTTTGAATGACCAATAATCAGCGATACTGAATAAAATTCACAAAGCAGTTAAATACATTTGAAAAAAAAACACTAAAAATAAATCAAATCACGAAACGTTATGTATTCGTTTTGATACGTTTAAACCAACTTTGATTGAAAGCAGAAAGGTATGTCGGGAAAAATGGTCGATGGCTTGTTGAGATTCTGAACCTTCTTGTCCGGGTAAATCTCGGTGGTAAATAAGTGTCAGCAAATCCAAAAATAACTCGAAATTAAGCATATTCATGATGTCATGTATTTGTACAGACTTTGAAAAGAATTCAGACATGCTCGAAAAGTTTCAATTTTTTGGTTCAACAGGCACTCGTTAAAAGTTTGGAATTACCGCGACGCATCTTAAGTTATTCGATGTCTCTACTACAAGTATACTCATTCTCCAAGCCCCGACTGATTCCTGCCGTTGGTGACGTGGTTGAGGGCACATATTCAGCGCGTTTGAGCGCATTTAGTCGATGCTTTGAGAATGAGAAAAACACATTGTTCACGTGAAATTCGAACGCGCAATGTGAGGCGACTCCCGCTGATGCTTTGGTCCTAAGTCGTTTAATACATCAATGTGATGATTGGGTCCCGAGAAAATGGGGTTGTCAACATTTGATAGGAAATATCAAGTATTCTCTAGGTTCTATTTCATAGCTGAACAATCTCGCATTTCAGTTTTGATGTGTGCATGTAATGAGACAAACCCTGGTACTGTATCAACAATCACTGCGTGAAGACCACGCCCCTCACGATGACTAATTCACGCTATATTTAAACAATTGAGTGGTTATCGTGATTTTATCTCAGATATTTAAACTGTAAATGAAATAAAAGCAGTGCCAATCCAGTCCGAACAAGCATTGACCAAAGCACAGTCCCGTGTGGTTTTATTGGTAGTCGATCTCAATTTTCAGTACACGTCACATGCAGATATACAAGTCTACCAAAGGGTAGTCTATGCATCATAAAGTGCATAGACTGACAAAATGTGTTGATTATAGAGTGACACATAACACAGAGAAATTAGCATGGGTACCAGGAAAAATCCAAATCCAAATAGCCATTTTGGTTCGAGTAACAAAGATTACGTGTACATTGTATGTATGATCACGATACAAAGCTCTGTTCGTCTGCGGGAAATGGTCTTCGATCACGTTGGAGATTTGCTAATATAACCAACTGAACAGACATGGGTGATAAAACCAACCAGTGATGATGTCACTGATGATGTCACTGTGACACCTACTTCTTTGAATTTCACCAAAATCTAACACGGAGTGTATATAATGTCACAATCGCACAATCAGCAAACATTCAAATTAAAAAAACAAAAAACAAAACATTCAAAAACAATGTATTTTACGCATTACTTGCAAATTGTTTTATATCGAAAACACCACAGTGAGACCGTGACGTTTCATTACACGGACTACAAGCAAAACAGCAACTAAATAAACACATCGGTTGAGGACGCCCCTTGTCCTCCATTTATTTTGGTATGTTTGTAGATCCTTTCAATGGGCAATGTGTTAATGATTGAAACTTAGAGTAACAATTTAGTGCATGTGATAAAAACAAACAGACTACTACATATAAATAATTATAACACCATGACTTCATTTACTTCAAAAACATATTTTTTTTAAAAATTGTTTATTAATTGAAAGCAAATACTGTAATTGCTCTATTAGAAGTAAACAAATTTATGTAAATGAGGTTTGCAGATTGACAAAATATGTCATATTTTAATGAATCAGTATGCAATTTTAGGTTTATATGTATTGGAAATGAGATTCTAATAGAGCAAAACAATATTTTTTTTTATTTTTTTTAGTTTTCAATAATACAAAGTGAAAAACATGTAAGAGCACACCTTTATTTATACAAAATATTGCAAAATGTTACTGTTAATCACACACAATTATTTGTAACATAACTAGTGTAAATCATTGAATTGAAGTACTTTTTTAAAAAAAAATTGATTTTATTTTGTAAATATTATGACATATTATACTCCGTAATTTTTTTTTATTTCAGATTACTGTAGTTTCTCTACAGATACACTTCATAAATGGGAACCAATGCTGTCGGGCTTGGTACCACCAATCAAATAGCCCT